TTTCAAAGGATGCCAATTTCCGAATCGGGTCCAGAACAAACAAGAAAGACATTCCTGGCACTAAAATAACAAGTTCTCTGTTCGTTAGTCACATCCCCAGGCCCCTCTTATATTTCTTTGGCTTTCCACTTTGAATTTTTATTCTTACAAAAAACAGAAGATTTACTGTTATGCAGACTACTGCATTAGTGTAGAAATGGTATAAATAATATCAGTGCACTTGTAAAAGAATATTAGACTCACCAGTTGATCTGTATTGGACGCCTGGCATGATTTGTTTACTTTTGAACTTGGGTAAAAATCGAACATTTCTGCTACTTTGAGCTCAATTTCAAGGTACTTTTCATTGTAAAACCAGTCAAAATCATCTCAATTTCTGTAATATGTCTTCCATTCTATAAAATGAGACCAAGAAAACTAGAATACAACAATAAATACCATACGAAAATACAGTGCAAAGTCGCTGTTTTAATCCAAAAACACGGTCAAAGTTTTTTTTTCTCATTATGCACTGTGTGCTGCAGGATTTTTTTATACCGTGCACACTGACCACATAGACCCTTCTTTCATATGTAGGCCTACCAGCTTTCTCTCACTAGATTTGAGGGCGCTAGAATTTAGGCATACTAGTACGTCAAAAACCCTGGGTCGTTAGACGTACTAGTACGTCCGAAACCCCCAAAGGTTAAAGAGTATATTTTTGTGACGGTAATAAAACAAAAAAAAAAAATTCTGATCAGTACTTACCGAGATACAATGCCAAGAAGATGACCCAAAATGACCAGGTGGCAGCAACATCGACGATTTCCACATACACGCATTACTTTATTTTACGTTTTTCATAGTTTTTTCTTTTCTTTTCTAATTTTTTTCTTTTCCTACTGATATTTGGGGCCTGAGAGACCAATACTGTATATAATGTATATATATAAACTCACTGTATTGAACACAATAACTGCACTAAATTTTTTTTTTTAACAAGTCGGCCGTCTCCCACCGAGGCAGGGTGACCCAAAAAGAAAAAAATCCCCCCAAAACGAAAATACTTTCATCATCATTCAACACTTTCACCTCACTCACACACAATCACTGTTTTTGCAGAGGTGCTCAGAACACAACAGTTTAGAAGGATATACGTATAAAGAAACACAACATATCCCTCCAACCTACTAATATCCCGAAACCCCTCCTTTAGAGTGCAGGCACTGTACTTCCCATTTCCAGGACTCAAGTCCGGCTATATAAAAATAACTGGTTTCCATGAATCCCTTCACTAAATATTACCCTGCTTACACTCCAACAGATCATCAGGTCCCAAATACCATTCGTCTCCATTCACTCCTATTGAACATGCTCATGCACACCTGCTGGAAGTCCAAGCCCCTCGCCCACAAAACCTCCCTTACCCTTCCTTCCAACCTTTTCGAGGACGACCCCTACCCTGCCTTCCTTTCCCTACAGATTTAAATGCTCTCCATGTCATTCTACTTTGATCCATTCTCTCTAAATGACCAAACCACCTCAACACCCCTTCTTCAGCCCTCTGACTAATACAGTGGACCCCCGGTTAACGAACTTTTTTCATTCCAGTAGTATGTTCAGGTGCCAGTACTGACCGAATTTTTTCCCATAAGGAATATTGTGAAGTAGATTAGTCCATTTCAGACCCCCAAACATACACGTACAAACGCACTTACATAAATATACTTACATAATTGGTCGCATTTGGAGGTGATCGTTAAGCGGGGGTCCACTGTACTTTTATTAACTCCACGCCTTCTCCTAATTTCCACACTCCGAATTTTCTGCATAATATTTACACCACACATTGCCCTTAAACACTAAAGTTATCATAATATTGTTTACCACTTTTGTTTATTATAATAAACATGCACAAATCTTGTATAATACTAATGTTCTATCATATATTTACGTATGTACAAACACTGGAAATGTTTTTAGAACTGCTGCGGTTTGTGGAACTCCTTGAAACAAGGCACAATGCACAGAGGTACCTTACATTCCTCACACATAAACAGAGTGTCTTTGCATCTTCGTTGCCGTCGTTTTGTTTGTGCACAGACAACACATCTCTTCTGAGCAAATTTCTTCTTAGTTGCAGGAAGCTGTATTATGAAGTGATCACCTTCCCTCCTCAAACGCTTGGGTATATCCTGAGGAGTTCGAGGACAGTTTTGTATAGCAGGTGTTGTTACCTGGTATTTCATTATGAGTTGTCTGACAACACAGACAGACAAAATTCACCATACGGTGATCTGTTGCCAGTCTTCACTTAGTACATATTATATGCATTGAGCATTGAAATGTCCATGAGATGAAAGAAAAGTTTCATATACCACTTGTAACTCTTATGAACACAATCAAAAAAGCCGATCTGCATATCACATTTGTCAACCAAACGCACGTTTTGTGAATAATCAATCACTGTCACTGGTTTTCGAATATGTTCATTAGTCATTCTATCAACTTTGCCACTGTCTTGCATTTCGTTACGGTGAATGGTTGTCAACAATGTGACATCTCATCTGTCATGCCACCATAATGCCATTATGTTATCGGCAGTAAACACCTGCACCTCATCACCACGAGCGCCTGCGTTGAACCTGGGCATATGTTTACGATTAGAATGCACTGTGCCACACACATCTGTCTTATTCACTCTCAAGAAATCACTGAGTAAAGGGCTTGTGTACCAGTTATTGGTATATAATGTATGCCCCTTACCAAGATAAGGTGCCATCATGCTTCTCACTACGTCACCTGAGATGCCCAATAACATCCTAGTATCTTTCAATGTTTTACTTCCTGTGTAAACAACAATGTCCAATACCAGGCCATTGTCACAGTCACAGAGTACAAACAGTTTTATACCAAAGCGTTTCCTCTTGCTCGGTATATACTGTTTGAATGACAGTCTACCTTTGAACAAAATCAAAGATTCGTAAAGTACAAGATTCTTGAATGGATAAAAGTACATGTTGAACTTTTGTTTGAGATACATAAAAGCATTTCTAATCTTGTATAACCTGTCACTTCTGTCAGGCCTGGTTTTGTCAGAAAAGTGCAACATACGTAAGAGAAAGATAAACCTGTTCACTGGGATGATTTCATTGAAGACTGGGGTAGAAATTAGCTGATCTGTGGACCAGTATGCTTTTATATTATGCTTATAGACATGAGGCATAAGCATTATTGTTGCAAAAAGCAAATACATTTCTGCAACAGTTGTCTCTTTCCACCGGTGTAGTCTTGACTGTGGTGATATCATCGTATTTGCCATGGTGTACTCAAAATACTTGTTACTTTCCCTGACAATAGTTTCCATCAAGGGCTGGTCAAGAATAGTTCAAAAAATTCCAGTTCATTGGCAGTGGTTCCAAGGGGACAAGTAGGTAGAATTCCACTTTGAGTTATTTTTTTTATTTAATTCATGTTAAGCGCTAGACCCATGTGGGTCATTCAGCGCAAGACATAATAGAGGCTCGATCCTCCGTCTGCTGAGCGCCAGACAGATGCGCTTCCTATTTGTACTCACCTATATCTCAATTCCACTTTGAGAATCATCAAACTGGTAGGGCTTGAGAACAAAATTGGGATTTTGCTGCCAATCCCAGATACGGTTTGCTGGTGGATACTGGACATCATAGGCTGGTTGTGCTGGTAGTTGTGGTTGTGGTGGGCTGGTGGCTGACGCACCGCTTTATCCTTGAACTGAGGAGTCAGCAGCGTGGGTCCCAGCCTGGGATGGTGAGTCATGCATGGTCGTGGCACTACCATCACCACTACCACCACCTACTGATGCCTGTGGTCTATCCATGCCAAGTGTAGCCACATCATCTTCACTTTCACTGTCTATTCCTGGTGTAGGGCCACGGGATGTACTCTGTTCCCTGGGCACTACATAGGGAACACTACCCGAGCGCATGCGGCGGCGTATATACTGACGCTTCACTGGTGAATATGTTTCCTCACTATCACTACTCGAATGATAGTCAAGAGCAATAAAATCACAATTCAAGTCACTATCATCATCATTACTGAAGTCAGAGGCCTGGCCACGCGAAAATAATAGTTTTCTCTTGCGATGAGGTACAACTGACAGTGACTGAGGAGTGCCCACACCAGAGGTAGAAGGTTGAGGATTGTCAGGGTTTTCTGCACTATTATCGATATCCTGGTCATTCCTTTCGGTCACTAACTGATCAAAGCCAAAGAATTCGCCTTCATTTCCACTTCCATCAGAGTCAGAACTATCAGATAGGAAGAGGAGAGTCCCAATTTTCCTTGGAGTGAGAGCTGCCTTGCGATGAGGCATGGTGAATAAAGGTAACTGAGCCGGCGTTCCCACAATGCTATGCGGGCACCTAGAATTTTTGTTTACAGCGCACACACACCACACAGACCCGTTCTCTCACACATGTAGGAATACCAGCCTTTTCGCACTAAATTTGACGCCAGTAGAATTTTGGCGTAGATTTACGGTTTGGACCCTGAAAGGGTTAAAAACAGAGTAGGGGAGTTAGTTGATGGGGAGCTGGAAGTATTGGGTAGATGGCGGGAATATTTTGAGGAACTTTTAACCCTTTGACTGTCGCAACCCCCAATCCTGAAGTGTCTCCTGGTGTCGCAAAATTTAAAAAAAAAAAAAAATTATTTTTTCTTATGAAATGATAGAGAATCTTTTCCCAATTGTAATGACACCAAAAAAATGAAATTTGATGGAAAACTGACGGAATTATGCTCTCGCGAAGTTAGTGACCTCGGCGCTGTTTACAAATCGGCGATTTCGCCCACTTTGAGCCCTATTTTCGGCTAATTCCATTGTTCCAGTCGCCCAAACTCATAGCTATTTCTTTAGAACTCCATTTTTTCTATCGATTGAGTACAAGAAACTGCCCATTTACCGATTTCAACTACCTAATAATGTGGTCTGAAATTTGCAATTTGGCCAATTTCACGAAAACTAAAAAATATGACAATTTCAAAATAAGGTCCAGAATGAACAATGCAGACTTTCCTGGCTCTAAAATAACATTTTCTTTGTTCATCAGTCATGTCTCCAGGCCCCTCTGAGATAACTCTTGCTTTCTATTTTAAATTTTTATTCAAACAAAAAATAGAAGACTTACTATTATGCAGACTACTGCAATACTGTAATAATTGTATAAATAACATCAACCCATTCATGACTGCATATTAGAATGGCTAGTTGGAGATTTATTGGACAATGGCATCATTTGTTTACTTTTGAACATTGGTAAAAATCAAACATTTCCCCTACTTTGAGCTCCATTTCTAGGTTCTTTTTATAGTAAAATCAATCAAAATCACCTCTATTTCTATATGTTTTCCATTCTATCAAATGAGACCAAGAAAACGAGAATACAACCATAAATACTATACGAAAATAGACCACAAAGTCGGCATTTTAATTAAAAAAACGGTCGAATTTTTTTTTCTCATTATGCACTGCGTGCTCCAGGATTTTTTTTATATGGTGCACACTGACCACGCAGACCCATTCTCTCACATGTGGCCCTACCAGCATTCTCCTGCTTGATTTGAAGCCGCTAGAATTTATGAGTATATATACGTCAAACACGGTACCTCGTAAGACGTATATATACGGCCGCGACAGTCAAAGGGTTAAATGTCAATGAAGAAAGGGAGGCGGTAATTTCATGCACTGGCCAGGAAGGTATAACATCATTTAGGAGTGAAGAAGAGCAGGATGCGAGTGTGGGGGAGGTGCGTGAGGCATTACAAAGACTGAAAGAGGGTAGAGCAGCTGGAACTGACAGGATCATGACAGAAATGTTAAAAGCAGGGGGAAATATAGTATTGGAGTGGTTGGTACTTTTGTTTAATATATGTATGAAAGAGGGGAAGGTACCTAGGGATTGGCAGAGAGCAGGGAAGGGGGACAAGAGAGATTGTAAAAATTATAAGGGAACAAGTTTACTGAGTATACCAGGAAAAGTGTACGGAAGGGTTATTATTGAAAGAATTAGAGGTAAGACAGAGAGTAGGATTGCAGATGAGCAAGGAGGCTTTAGTGTGGGTAGGGGATCAAGTGTTTACATTGAAGCATGTATGTGAACAGTATTTAGATAAAGGCAGGCAAGTTTTCATTGCATTTATGGATTTAGAAAAGGCATATGATAGAGTGGATAGAGGAGCAATGTGGCAGATGATGCAAGTATATGGAATAGGTGGCAAGTTACTAAATGCTGTAAAGAGTTTTTATGAGGATAGTGAGGCTCATGTTAGGGTGTGAGGGAGAGAGGGAGATTACTTCCCAGTAAAAGCAGGTCTTAGACAGGGATGTGTAATGTCACCATGGTTGTTTAATATATTTATAGATGGGGTTGTAAAAGAAATCAATGCTAGGGTGTTGGGGAAAGGTGTGGGATTAAATTATGGGAAATCACATACAAAATGGGAGTTGACACAGTTACTTTTTGCTGATGATACTGTGCTTATGGGAGATTCTAAAGAAAAGTTGCAAAGGTTAGTTGAGGAGTTTGGGAGTGTGTGTTAAGGTAGAAAGTTGAAAGTGAACATAAACAAGAGTAAGGTGATGAGGGTATCAAATGATTTAGATAAAGAAAAACTGGATGTCACATTGGAGAGAAGGAGTATGGAAGAAGTGAATGTTTTCAGATATTTGGGAGTTGACTTGTCAGCAGATGGGTTTATGAAGGATGAAGTTAACCATAGAATTGATGAAGGAAAAAAGGTGAGTGGTGCATTGAGGTATCTGTGGAGACAAAAAAATGTTATCCATGGAGGCAAAGAAAGGAACGTACGAAAGTACAGTGGTACCAACACTCTTATATGGGTGTGAAGCTTGGGTTACAAATGCTGCAGCAAGGAGGTGGTTGGAGGCAGTGGAGATGTCCTGTCTAAGGGCAATGTGTGGTGTAAATATTATGCAGAGAATTTGGAGAGTGGAAATTAGGAGGTGTGGAGTTACTAAAAGTATTAGTCAGAGGGCTGAAGAGGGGTTGTGGAGGTGGTTTGGTCATTTAGAGAATGGATCAAAGTAGAATGCCTTGGAGAGCATATAAATCTGTAGGGGAAGGAAGGCAGGGTAGGGGTTGTCCTTGAAAAGGTTGGAGGGAGGAGGGTAAAGGAGGTTTAGTGGGCGAGGGGCTTGGACTTTCAGCAAGCATGTGCGAGCGTGTTAGATACGAGTGAATGGAGAGGAATGGTTTTTGAGACCTGACGAGCTGTTGGAGTGTGAGCAGGGTAATATTTAGTGAAGGGGCTTGAGTACTGGAAATGGGAAGTACATACAATGCCTGCACTTTAAAGGAGGGGTTTGGGATATTGACAGTTTGGAGGGGTACGTTATATATGCTTTGAAACTGTTGTATCTGGGCGCCTCTGCAAAGACAGTGATTATGTGTGAGTGAGGTGAAAGTGTTGAATGATGATGAAGGTATTTTCTTTTTGGGGATTTTCTTTCTTTTTGGGTCACCCTGCCTCGGTGGGAGATGGCCGACTTGTAAAAAAAAAAAAAAAAAAAAAAAAAATCTTACCAGTTATTAGATTTTGCACATTCAAAAATGCATGAACCAATGTGAAATTCAATTTTCATGGCCTTGCATTACACATATTTTGACATCCTTAACAAATCTGTATTTTCTTAACTAAATTAAATAATACAATAAAGCAATACTATTAATTTTATTAACCTAAAGTTAAAGACAGTAAAGCTCAATGTAACAAAGCTTCATTATCTTTTGTAATACTGTATTGAGAGTTACCCTTTTTTCAGAGCTTACCAGTACATCACATCAATTAATGCAACAGCTTCACCTTAACTAAATCTTCACCACCTGATTTTCTAATAGCACCTTCTGGAGGACTCCGGATACCTCTCCTTCAGCTCTCCCTTAAACTGTCGAAATAGAATGCGGTTTTTTCCTGTTCCATGTCCTTGGTGCTGTGGAAGTTGTCGGAGGTCTTGTATCCCTGGTGTACCACAAAGGCGGAGTCCAGCACCAAGAACCTGTACCCGGCCACATGAAGCTCGCAAACCTGTAGTCAATGCATCAATGTAAGGAGGGGAGAAGAAAAGAACTTTGAAAATGAAATCACAAAAAGGAGCAAGAAAGAACCATTCAGTTTACAAAAAGAGAAAATAATCTTTTCTTTTCTTTCAACGTACCAGCCATATCCCACCGAGGTGGGGTGGCCCAAAAGGAAAAACGAAAGTTTCTCCTCTCAAATTTAATAATATATACAGGAGAAGGGGTTACTAGCCCCTTTCTCCCGGCATTTTAGTCGCCTCTTACGACACGCATGGCTTACGGAGGAAGAATTCTGTTCCACTTCCCCATGGAGAAGAGAAAATAATGTTAAAAGAAAATACAAAGAATTATGGACAACAAAATCACTGTAATGGTGGAAGAAATTCATTAGGTTCTAAATAGAAAGTTTCTGATTGTGTTCACTAAAAAAAGATATTTTAGATGTATTAGATTTAAAAGTCAAACAGATGACTGAACTAATTCCAGGAAGTTTACACAAGAGAAAGGTACCTGCCTGACTAATTCTATTAAAGCCATACTGCCTGAACCTTTCATCATAGGGTGGTATGTTGGTCCTGGTGATGTAGAATGGTTCCCAGGGGTCCTGCCACAGCACTTCATACAAGGGTTCTACATGACCCACTTTTCCACCTTTATTCTTTTCCCATGCTGCATAGTCCGTGTATCGCTGGTGAATAATTAAAAAGGTTAATCAAAATCTTTTATCATATGCTGTACATGTACTGTAAAATAAAACAAATTATATACAAAATTTCATTCTAGTAAGGTCTGTATGACCTCATACAGATCAGTGTGCATAATTTCTGGATACAGTAGGACTTCAGTTAAAATACTACCTATTAATGCTTTCTGAAGAATTGCAACATTGTTTTGGTGATCATGCTGTGATTTTCAGTTAGAACGACATTAGCTTAGGAGAAAATATGGCACACCATGGGATGTTTCCTTCCCACCCTCCCCAATCCATCTTGCTGTTAGCCTATGGGTGATACCACCGATATTTTGTGAAGGCCTAATCTTAAGCTTGTTGTAAACAAACTCTCCACACTGTCAGCTCTCTCTCTCTCTCTCTCTGTATACATATGCCATACATACTCAGTGCGGATAGTAACCATGATACCCAAGAAGAATTTGAATAATGTTGAAACTGCCAAGAAGTATTAGTGTAAAAAATCTTGGTGTTTTGAAAAAGTTGACATTTCAGATAAGGTTAAAAGTGGAGTACATGTGGCGGGAAATGTCACGTGCCTTTTATACTGATAAGACTGGTAATAAATTTATAATGGTCACTGGAGGTGTATAAGCCTTTTCTGTTTCCTCTGGATGGAAAACCATGTCCATTTTCTCTGGAAAGAACATATGATATACTGCATCAAATGGCAGTGTAACCCATGTTTTGACAAGTTTATTTAGTAACTGAGTTTTTATTTAGGATCTGGATAAATGATATATTGCTTTTTAGACTGAAAAGTAACATCATCTATAATGTAAAGTGTCTAAAACTGATTATTTTGACAAAATAAGAAATTTAAAAAATATCTGGCATTTCTGGGGGTCCGAAGATCTTCTACCAGTATTAAACACTGTTTTCAGAAACATGACTAGTGTCTATACTGAGAGTTTACTGTAAATCAGAATTTTTTTTAACACATCAGCTGTTTCACACCAAGGCAGGGTGACCCAAAAAAGAAACACTTTCATCGTCACTCATTCCATAACTGTCTAGCCAGATGTGTGCCTACACTACAGTTCAAAAACTGAAACATATCTCAACCCCTCCTTCAGAGCACAGGCACTGTATTTCCCACCTCCAGGAATCAAGTCTGGCTAACTGGTTATCCTTAATACATTCATAAATTTTACCCTGCTCACACTCCAACAGCATGTCAAGTCATAAAAACCATTTGCCTCCACTCACTCATGCATGCTGGCAGGAAGTCTATGCCCCCCCTCACACACAAAACCTCCTTTACCCCCTACCTCCAACTTTTCCTTCCACTACAGAGTTATACACCTCCAAGTTATTCTATTTTGTTCTATCCTCTCTAAATACCTGAACCACCTCAATAACCCCTCTTCAGCTCTTTGGATAATATTTTAGTAACCCCTCATTTTATCACAATATAGAATAGACAGAGACTGTGTGCGAATGATGGTGAAAGTGTTTTTTTTTTTTGGGTCACCTTGTCTCAATGGGAGACGGCGGATGTATTGGAAGAAAAAATAAAAATATATACATCACATACCTGGCACTTCAAGCACAGCTCTTGATAAAATGGTCTTGCTAAGCCATTTTCTTTCATTTTCAACAGTTCCTGCTTAGTTTTGGGGATCTTCACATCATCTTTGATCTCGTAGGCTGGCACTACCCACACAGTCTTATCCTCACCAGAATTGTCTCCAAATAAACCTTTTCCAACTGCATATGAAATAAATGAATCATGCAGACCTAGACTTGGGGTCATATCAATGTCTACTACCATCATCAAAGGTGTGTTAGTAGCTTTACGAGCAATATTTCTCAGCAAGTTGTTTGGGTACTGCACTCCCTTGAAGTCATAATTGGCTTGGTGGATTTCCAGAAATATTTTCTCACAAGGAGTAGTATCTGCTGTGGGAGTGAGGTGCGGAGAGGTGGGAGAATTCAGAGGAAAGACGAGACTAAAAGTAACGTTCTCCTTAATTTCAGGGTAACATTTACGCAACAAATGGAAGGTTTGAACTACAGCTTGTACCTCTCCACTCAATGCAAATACTGCAATGGAGACTGGGCCCTGGGAAAGAGAATTAAATGTAAAAGCCAAAACAAAATATTAAGTGCTGTAGTGATATAGATATAGATATACAGTGGACCCCCGCATAACGATGGCATGACATAGCGATTTTTCCGCATACCGATTACTTTTATCGCAAAATTTTTGCCGCGCATACCGATTAAAAAAACCCGCTTACCGATTTTCGTCCGAGACGCGTCCAATGTGCCCTCACATGTGCCGGCCGTCCCATTGTTTACCAGCCAGCCTCCGCGGTAACATCCAAGCATACACTCGGAATATTTCGAATTATTACAGTGTTTTCGGTGCTGTTTCTGGAAAATAAGTGACCATGGGCCCCAAGAAAGCTTCTAGTGCCAACCCTGTGGTAAAGGGTAGAATTAGTATGGAAATTAAGAAAGATTTGAAGGGTTTGGGCTAACCCTGAAAAGCCTATGCCAGTTGTGAATCCATTGTGCCTACTTTCAAAGATTAAGGAAATGTGTGCACAGTGGGTTGAACTGCAAACCTTTATAGATGAAAATCACCCTGACACAGCTGTTGCTAGCCGTGCTGGTGACTATTTCAATGACAATGTATGGCCCATTTTAGGAAAGTCTTGAAGGAACGGGAGGTACAGAGCTCTATGGACAGATTTGTTGTGCGACAGAGGTCCAGTGACTCTAAAGCTGGTCCTAGTGGCATTAAAAGAAGAAGGGAAGTAACCCCAGAAAAGGACTTGCAAACCTCAAGTCCTAATGGAAGGGGATTCCCCTTCTAAACAGTAAGAAGATAATCTCTCCCCCTCCTCCCATCCCATCAATCATCACCAGATCTTCAATAAAAGTAAGTGTCATGAAAATTTGTGCATGCCTTTTTCAGTTTGTGTGTATTAAAATTAACTTTCATGTGGTAAAAAAAAATTTTTTTCATAACTTTGGGCGTCTTGCAGGGATTAATTTTATTTCCATTATTTCTTATGGGGAAAATTCATTCGCATAACGATTATTTTCGCATAACGATGAGCCCTCTTGCAGGGATTAAAATCGTTAACCGGGGGTCCACTGTATATATATATTAATATATATTATATATATATATATATATATAATATTTATATATATAATATTTTATATATATTATATATATATATATTCTCCATGGGGAAGTGGAACAGAATTCTTCCTCCGTAAGCCATGCGTGTTGTAAGGGGCAACTAAAATGCCAGGGGCAAGGGGCTAGTAACCCCTTCTCCTGTATATAATACTAAATGTAAAAGGAAAAACTTTCGTTTTTCCTTTTGGGCCACCCCGCCTCGGTGGGATACACCCGTGTGTTGAAAGAAGAAAATATATATATTATATATAATATATAAATATTTATATATATAATATATATAAAATATATATATATAATATATATATATATATATAATATATATATATATTATTTTATAATATTATATATGTATGAAAGTATAGTAGTACCAACACTCTTATATGGGTGTGAAGCTTGGGTGGTAAATGCAGCAGCGAGGAGACGGTTGGAGGCAGTGGAGATGTCCTGTTTAAGGGCAATGTGTGGTGTAAATATTATGCAGAAAATTCGGAGTGTGGAAATTAGGAGAAGGTGTGGAGTTAATAAAAGTATTAGTCAGAGGGCAGAAGGGGGGTTGTTGAGGGGGTTTTGGGGTCATTTAGAGAGAATGGATCAAAGTAGAATGACATGGAAAGCATATAAATCTATAGGGGAAAGGGAAAGGCGGGGTAGGGGTCGTCCTCAAAAGGGTTGGAGAGAGGGGTAAAGGAGGTTTTGTGTAAGGGGTTTGGACTTTAAAGCAAGCGGGGCGTGAGCGTGTTAGATAGGAGTGAATGGAGACGAAGGGTTATTTGGGGACCTGACGATCTGTTGGTGGTTTGAGCAGGTAATATTTAGTGAAGGGATTCAGGGAAACCGGTTATTTTCATATAGTCGGACTTGAGTCCTGGAAATGGGAAGTACAATGCCTGCACTTTAAAGGAGGGGTTTGGATATTGGCAGTTTGGAGGGATATGTTGTGTATCTTTATATGTGTATGCTTCTAGACTTTTGTTTTTCTGAGCACCCCCTGCAAAAACAGTGATAAGGGTGCGAGTGTGGTGAAAGTGTTGAATGATGATGAAAGTATTTCTTTTTGGGGATTTTCTTTCTTTTTTGGGTCACCCTGCCTCGGGGGGGAGACGGCCGACTTTTTGGGAAAAAAAAAAAAAAAAAAAAAAAAAAAAAAAAATTATATATATAATTTATATATATATATATAAATATATATATATATATATATATATATATGTATATATATGTATGTATATAAATAAAAGTAGACATTTACTAAAAAAGAAAAAGAAAAACTTATAAAACTGGGATGCTTAAATGTGAATGGATGTAGTGCAGATGACAAGAAACAGATGATTGCTGATGTTATGAATAAAAGAAGTTGGATGTCCTGGCCCTAAGCGAAACAAAGCTGAAGGGGGTAGGGGAGTTTCGGGGGGGGGAAATAAATGGTTTAAAATCTGGAGATCTGAGAGAGTTAGAGCAAAGGAAGGGTAGCAGTAATGTTGAATGATCAGTTATGGAAGGAGAAAAGAGAAAATGAATGTGTAAATTCAAGAATTATGTGGATTAAGTAAAGGTTGGGTGCGAGAAGTGGGTCATAATAAGCGTGTATCACCTGGAAAGAGGGGAAAATGCAGAGGAGAGAGAGAGATTATGGAGATGTTAAGTGAATGTATAGGAGCCTTTTGAACCAAGTGAGAGAGTAATTGTGGTAGGGGGACCTGAATGCTAAAGTAGGAGAAACTTTTAGAGAGGGTGTGGTAGGTGTGGTAGGTGTAAATGATAATGGGAGCCCTTTGACTGAACTTTGTATAGAAAGGGGTTTAGTTATAGGTAATACATATTTTAAGAAAAAGAGGATAAATAAGTAACAAGATATGATGTAGGGCGAAATGACAGTAGTTTGTTGGATTATGTATTGGAAGATAAAAGACTTGTTGAGTAGACTTCAGGATGTACATGTTTATAGAGGGGCCACAGATATATCAGATCACTTTCTAGTTGTAGCTACACTGAGAGAAAAAGGGTAGATGGGATACAAGGAGAATAGAAGCATCGGGGAAGAGAGAGTGAAGGTTTATAAACTAAAAGAGGAGGCAGTTAGGGTAAGATATAAACATTTATGGAGGATAGATGGCCTAATGAGAGCATTAGGCAATGGGGTCGAAGAGGTAGGGGTAGGTTTAAAATGTAGTTTTGGAGTGTTCAGCAGAAGTTTGTGGTTACAGAAAGTGGGTGCGGGAGGGAAGAGGAGCGATTGGTGGAATAATGATGTGAAGACAGTAGTAAGGGAGAAAAAGTTAGCATATGAGAATTTTTTATCAAAGTAGAAGTGATGCAAGGGGGGAAGAGTATATGGAGAAAAAAGAGAGGTTAAGAGAGTGGTGAAGCAATGTAAAAGAGAGAAAAATTTGAGAGAGTGGGTAAAGTTTGTTATCAACAAATTTGTTGAAAATAAGAAAAAGTTTTGGAGTGAGATTAACAAGTTAAGGAAGCCTAGAGAACAAATGGATTTGTCAATTAAAAATTTAGGAAGGATAGTTATTAAATGGAGAGTTAGAGGTATTGGGAAGATGGAGGAATTTTTTGAGGAATTGTTAAATGCTGATAAAAGATGGGGAAAGCTGTGATTTCGTGTTAGGGAAAGGGAAAGGAACAAAAATCTTGTAGGAGTGAGGAAGAGCCATTTTGTGAGTGTGGGGGAAGTTCGTGAGGCAGTGGTAAAATGAAAGGGGTAAGGCACCCCGGGATTGATGGATAAAGATAGAAATGTTAAAAGCAGGTGGGGATATAGTTTTGGAGTGGTTGGTGCAATTATTTAATAAATGTATGGAAAGGGTAAGGTACCTAGGATTGCAGAGAGCATGCATAGTTCCTTTGTATAAAGGCAAAGGGGATAAAAGAGAGTGCAAAAATTATAGGGGGATAAGTCTGTTGAGTATACTGGCAAAGTGTATGGTAGAGTTATTATGAAAGAAATAAGAGTAAGACGGAGAATAGATAGCAGATGAACAAGGAGGCTTAGGAAAGGTAGGGGGGTGTGTGGACCAGGTGTTTACAGTGAAACATATAAGTGAACAGTATTTAGAAAGGCTAAAGGGGTCTTTGTGGCATTTATGGATTTGGAAAAGGCATATGACAGGGTGGAATAGGGGGGCAATGTGGCAGATGTTGCAGGTGTAGGGGTGTGGGAGGTAGGTTGAAAGCATGAAGAGTTTTTACAGGATAGTGAGGCTAAAGTTAGAGTACGTAGGAAAGAGGGAAATTATTTCCCGTAAAAGTAGGCCTTAGACAAGGATGTGTGATGTCACCGTGGTTGTTTAATATATTTATAGATGGGGTTGTAAGAGAAGTAAATGCGAGGGTCTTGGCAAGAGGCGTGGAGTTAAAAGATAAAGAATCACACATAAAGTGGGAGTTGTCACATGCTCTTTGCTAATGACACTGTGCTCTTGGGAGATTCTGAAGAGAAGTTGCAGAGATTGGTGGATAAATTTTGGGTTTAGGGTGTGCAAAAGAAGAAAATTGAAAGTGAATACAGGAAAGAGTAAGGTTATGGGGATAACAAAAAGATTAGTGATGAAAGATTGGATATCAGATTGGAGGGAAGGGGAGTATGGAGGAGGGAATGTATTCAGATATTTGGGAGTGGACGTGTCAGCGGATGGGTCCCAAAGAAAGATGAGGTGAATCATAGAATTGATGAGGGGAAAAGGGTGAGTGGTGCACTTTTGGAGTCTCTGGAGACAAAAAACTTTGTCCTTGGAGGCCCAAAAAGGGGAATGTATGAGAGTATAGTTTTACCAAAGTTCTTATATGGGTGTGAAGCAGGGTGATGAATGTTGCAGCGAGGAGAAAAGGGTGGAGGCAGTGGAGATGTCATGTCTGAGAGCAATGTGTGGTGTGAATATAATGCAGAGAATTCG